GTGTCCAGCAGCTCTTTCACAAGAAGGGAGACGAGGGGAAACACTGGTGGATTTTGATCTTGTGCTGTTCCATTGCACTGACTGCATTAAAATGAGAGACTTCACCTACATCCACGGTGCACGGAGAAGGGAAAAGTCTGAAGAGGTCAAAAATCCAGCAACACTGAATCGTCAAAACCCACACAATCTGAAACACTGCAGCCACTAACTATATGACTCAATAAAAAAATTAAAAAAAAATCGCACCAAGCTTTTTAAAAAAAAATTCTTTATTGTAGACGTTTTTCAACCTGCAAAGCATGCTCTTTCAGATTGGGCCCTAAGACATGAGCTCACAAGAACTAATACCATTGCTACTGCATGCATTTTATTGAGATATTGGATAATGACTTCAATTTTTTGATATAAGTCTGAATGGGTATCAAGTACTGGAAACAGACCAGTAGGCCAGACCCAAAGACCTCCTCAATGCTTAATCTGTCTTTGAATATTAATGTAGGAAACCAAAAAGAGAAGGATTGGAAGGCTGGAAGGAGGAATAAAAGATGTCTGTGAAGGTTCTCAGTCATCCATCATAGTTATCCAACGAAGGTTGAGGTCTCTTGGATGAGGGACGAAACGTCTTCTAGTTTCTTTAACCTATCTTATCTTATCTTTTAAAGTCCATTCGCCCTTGACCTCAACCTTCGTTGGATAAGGAGGAATAAATAAATTGAAGCAGGGAAGGAAGGGAAAAGTTTAAGGCAAGGACCACAGGAGGGAAGAGTGAGGAAGGTAAGAGGAAGAGGTTAACATTAACAGAGGCATGTGGAGAGAGAGGGGAAAAAAAGTTCTGACAGTGGCCCAACATTTACACCTGTTAAGGTCACTTAAACAAACCCCCTTCCAACCTGCCTGACATTTTGCCATCTCCCTCTCCAATGTGCAAACAGAGGTATCATCATTGTGCTGACTGAGTAACCAGAAGATCAGCTTGATCTGAAGCTCTAATTCTGCATAGCTGCTCACTGGTGCCACATATACTCTTGATCTGGACTATAAATCTTCCATTGCCTCAGATAGTGATAGTTCTTCTTAGGAAACAGGAGCTTGGTATTAACACTATGGTGTCTTTAATATTTATGTTTAATTTATGAGTTAAGGTATTGGACATTCTGCAATATTATCCCTCATATGATATTGATACATATTGTATAGCAATCCTGTGATCACTGGTGTGGAGTTACGCATTTGGTGTACTGTTCAGCAATGCAGATCCGTGAAAAAAATTCTGGTGACATTGTCTTGTTGTGATACAGCAACTCAAATACGTATAATACATTTGATTGAGAAACCTGCAATTTATACATTAAATATGACCTATTATATCTGTTTTGTGATTAGAGTTAGAGCCCTTATTACACCATGCACACCCTAGTTGTCTCAAAGATATACTGTACTTTCTGACAGCTTTCTGAAACTTTTTAGTTCAAAAAGAATCTGCATAGAATCTAGATATCAATCTGCAAGATATAAGGCAAACAAAACACTTGTCATAGATTGGACAAGTATGGGATTCCTAGGGCTGTCACGATAATCCCAAAATTGAAATACCGTGCTATTGGTCAAGCCTACCGCGGAGGCAAGCACCGCAGCAACCACAATGTTGATACTTTACACTTTAGTGCATGTTAAATTAATAAATATGTGCTTCAAAAGTTTCGCAACCGTAACGAGCTCTGTAATGGTTCATGGACAATTCGCCATGGGCTGTACGTGACCTGAGTTCAAACTTGGAAGCTGTAAATGTTGCCATGTTTTGTATTGTTTGATTCTTTATTTTAAAGGTTAGCTAACCTTGCGTTAGCATATTGCGCGGCTAATGTGGCAAGCAAGTTCGGCGATGTTGGACTACCATTGTAAGGTTGTACAGTGAGGTGAGATCCACACTCTTACCATGCTATATGGCATCAAAGTATTTCATTGATGGAAAATGCGATAATACTGCATACCGCGCTGTTGAGCCCCAACATATTACCACGGGGGAAATTACTTCACCGCAACAGCCCTAGGGATTCCAACTACTTTTCCTATTTAAAGAAAATCCTTCCCAAACACAGAAGTTGCATATCTTCTGAATATGGTATTAGAAAGTCAAATCCTGATTCATGAAGACGGATTAATATCTGTCACAGAGGATGCAAAAGGTATTTCTTGATGCAGCAGCCGAGGTAGAAATGGCACAGACATTAGGTCAAACAGCACGATGAGGGTAGTTTTGAGTAAAATATCTCCACAACAACTGGATCGATTGCCATGAAATTTGAAACAAACATCTAGAGACACCTTGCCATGTTTTGTTTTCCTCCATCTCTACTTTTCTTTTCTTCTTTGGTGAGACAGTGTTTGTTTACATTGTAAAAGAACTCTTCAGAATCGTATAAATATCATTTTCCTTACACAGTCCATTTACAACTTTATAACATCTGTTCTTGAAGTACTGGTGAAATGAGACTGTTAAGTACCATCTGGGCTGCTCCCATGCACACTTCTCACTTTTACAGCTGCATAGCAATGGAACTGTTCAAATGAACACTTGGAGATTGCACGTTTAAAATATAAACATACAAGTGCACACCAACTCGATGAGTCACATACATTTGCTATTTTCAGGTACGGCCTGTTGTTGAGACCGAGCAGTGATTAAAGCATACCACTGGGCGCTAAGCACTGCCCTCGGTGGCCTCCCTGTGAAATGGCTAACAGACATGGACACCCTGTGAACCACCTGATCCCCCTCTAAACTGGCTGACCTGACGGAGACCCCGTGAAGCAGCTGATGCCTGAGACTAATGACGGAGACTCTGAAGTGGACTACAGAGAATTGAAGTCCTGTTCCAATTCTGGCATAAACCCTATGGTTGGCATCTTATCTACAAGACCAGTAGGGTGCCCATTTGGTCAATTTTCTTTTAAAGTTGTACTGTAGCTATACTGTACTTGAACTATTTGCTAATAATGTTTGAATATGTCTCATTAGTAGGAGTGCAGTGTATAGCTGATATCGCCGATTTATCAGCCCCCTGGTTTATTAATCATTTTAAGAACAGCGATTTTGTTTATACATTAAAAAATTACAGTTATTACTAGAGCTGCAACGATTAATCAAATAATCCATTATTGTCGACTATTAACGTAATTGCCAAATATTTGGATAATGGATTAATCTTTTTTTTTATTTATTTATTTTTTAAATAATTTGATTCCAGCTTCTTAAATGTGAATATGTTCTCGTTTCTTTACTCTGGACAAAACATAACATTTGAGGACATCATCCTGGTATATGGGAAACACTGATCGATATTTTTCGCCATTTATAGCCCAAACAACTAATTGATTAAATTGAGAAAATACTCAACAGATTCATCGACAATGAAAATAACGATTAGTTGCAGCCCTAGTTCCTATCAGTTTATAGTAGGACAGCAGGAATATATGGAAGCCTAACCTAACATACGAGGTGTTGTTCAGCTAGCTTTCCTGATGCAGAGTGCTCAGAAGAGAGAGAGCTAAATTATTCCACATACTGCTCCTTAAAAGTATCTCATGATCCAATATAAACCCAAAAATATTAAAGCAAGAGAGCTCCGTGCCTTTTTCTTCCCCTGAGGAAGATCCTTTGAAGTACAGGGATCTGTCAGACTCTGCTTCAGTTTGGTATGTCCACCCACCAACACCCCCACCACCTCTGTGACACCCCCTGCATAATTCCATCCTTCCTACCCAGGTCTTATATAATCATTTTCTCAGCGATTTCTGCTTCAAACTGTCTCTCAAAACTGCAAATCCATAGTTTTACACCCAGGTTTAGGGTACACATGTTGGGACATAAATACAACATGTCTGCGTATGAACAACTGTTGAATGTATGTACAGTATGTCAAGCATGATTCGGCTACAGGTGGCCGGTTGCCCTAAGCCAGGCAGTCTCGTCTCTGCATGGCTAAAGAAAAGACAGGTGACCTTGCAGCCTGTGAAGTCTGCAGTGCGAAAACTTCAGAGAGCAAAAACTACATCAGCCGATAAAGGGAAGGAAGATAGAAATGCAGAGCAAGAGAAAGAGATGGGATGAGGGGTGGGGACAGCTGCTGCTCTGTAGATTAGAACTGAAAGCAGCTCTCTCTCTCTCTCTCTCTCTCTCTGAACTGTGTTTATTCCTGCTGGAGTTGGTGATTGGCGGAATCCTCTCTATCCTTTAGGCGGGTGCAATTTTAAACTGTCAGTAGCGGACTGAAATTTGACATATTTAGTCTCACACCCAGTTTCATAAAAATATTAATTTTGGCATGTGGGCAGCCTTTTCATAAACTCCTGTGGTTTATTTAGGTCCTCAAACTATATGTATACAATGAAGATATACTGAAATTGATTGTTGTATAATTTTGTTACTAATATCACTAGCATATGTGTGTGTTGACATAAATGTCACAATGAAATTAAACAGTGGTGACTGCAATGATGTTGGCACAGCGGTTAAATCTCCAAGCTTTCGAATAATATCATTATCCATGAAAAACCAATATTTCGCTGCCTTCCTGGGCACCAAGTACCATAAAACTTTTAATGTTAAGGTACACTGCAGCAAAGCAACAACTGGCACAACTTCTGACTGCTTGAATAGATTCTGCAAGAAGGGTAGAGTTTAACACTGCCAAATATCAGAGTGTGCCAGTACTGCTGAAGGCTGGAAATTATGTGATGTAATCCAAAGATGATCAAAACATGTTGAAACAAGGGAGAGATGGGTATGCGTGTGTGTGTGCGTGCGTGCGTGCGGTTGAAGCATAAAGCAATGTATAGAGAGCTGTGTGCAGGTGCTAACAGTGGGAGGCGGGTTTACAGACTGAGAATGAACCTCCTGCAGAGATTTTTGTGAGAGTGTTATGAAAGAGTATTATGAGACAAAGAAAGAGAGAACAATGTCTATGTGCACGTATGCGTGATAAAGAGAAGTTACTTACTCCATCATTGATGCAGGTATGGAACAGCAATCCTGTATCGCAGTGAGTGGGGAGGTGAGGTGAGCGGTGTATGAGGCCTCCACCACCTGTTTGTTCCTGTTCACCACATCCAGGTAGCGGTTAAACTTTTCACGAATCTTTTTGGCCAACTGCTCAAGAAAAACACAAAAAAAATGTATAAGACTTAAAGTAAAACACAAAAACTTCCAAATCATTACAGGTATCTCATCAAGAATCTACATATGCACGGAGGCACGCAAGACACACACACACACACACACACACACACACACACACACAGGTATATCAATACCACTAAGCCTGTTCAAACACTACTCATTTGGTATTGACACCTAATAAAATTAGTACTTACATGGTGTGTTTTGTTAACTGTGGTTGCAAGTCGTTGCACATTAATAGCACATGTTATGACCACATGTTATGACCTGTTTTTGGGGCTAAATATTGTTGAAAAGAGAGGACCAATTAAAGTAGTTCTTTAAAATGATGGGCTATTATTATAAACATTATGCAGAAGTCTTTCTTTAAGTTTGACCTTTATGATTTTGCTTTATTGGTAATTTTGAAATAAAACTTTCTTTTCATACGACCAGTATGTCAACAAAACTCTAAAAACTTAAATTGTTAAATATATCGTATCAAAGTGAAAAACTGCATTAGCCTCAGTCGCTTATTTAAAGACACAGACATACAAACAAACTGTTTATCACAATGATAAAATTATTTAACTGTGTATTTAACTGTACTTTAGCAGCTCAGAGGAGTTTACTTTCAAGCATGTCCACTGATTTCTTCCCTCCCCCTTCTGTTTATTAATTAGAGAGCGCTACAAGCACATTAATATAGCTGAATAAAGAAACTGACCTAGACCAGCTCCTCTATTATGACACAAACACCTTTTTCTGTATTTCATCTTCACTGTATCTCATTTGCTGCTCCCATTATTTTTTTCATAAATCTTTTTTCTATTTGCTGCTTCCTTCTCTAGTGCATCTCCTTCCCTCTATCTTTTTGCTGCTTTGTTCTCAAACAAGCTCCCTTTCACCGTTACATCTGCCTTCTTTTCTGTCTTTAAGCTTTAATAGATATAGCTTACTTCTAAATTTAGCCTTTTCCGGAAACAAAGAGGTGATGGATATTAAATAAACACCAGTATTGCACAGTGGTTTAGAGACAGCACGCATTGCTGTCTCTATCCTCAGGAATTTCCCAGAAATGTAACACTGCAAACCTCAAACCAAACACCTTCATTTTATCCAGGGATAAATCTACAAGTGTGACTATAGACTTTAATATAGACAGGCTTTCAGGTAAACTGTGGGACTGACAAATTTTCACACACAGTAAGTCATTTCTGAATGTCCAATCAATGCATACACAAGTACACAAAGATACACAATTTAATAATCACAAACTACACTGAGCAATATCAAAGATGCCCAGAACTCAGGCTGAACTAAGTATGCAATCCATCACTGTTAAAAGCAAAGCCAAATGATGGATGAGAACAAAAAACATTTTTCATTTCAACACAGTAAGCCTTCATCATTTAATAATAAGATCCACACTAAAAATACAACAACACACGGCCAAAATTAAGTGAAAGCTCAAAGCTGAGACCAGAGGCATTGTTATTTGTAGAAAAGAAGAAGTGCGTCAAACAGTTTCTAGGTTATAACATTCTAGCTTTTACATGAATGCACCTGGTTCTACCACTTGCTTTCTTGTGTAGTGTATTCATGTATATTTCATTTTGTGAATGCCTTGCACAATTCACTTTATAAATACACTATGGTCCTAAATAAAAGAGAAAAATCAGATGCAAGATCCATCCAACTGTCACTGAGTTTGTGAATATTGTTTTGTGATGTACTTTACCTTTAAATACATGAAAACCAGGAAGCAGAAAATGGTGTTTCTAAACAAAGGTAAAATAGCTAATTCAATCAGTGTTTACTGGGGCCCTTTAATGCAGGCCCCTGGACATGCATGAATTATACTTTGCCTTTCTTCTTTTGAAGGACATGGTTTTGGATGAGCACACATCTCAAAATGGGGGTTCAGCTCCTTAGAGGAAACTAATAACCAGCTCTGCAGTAGCCTCCTGGGGAGCTCTTCACAACAGGTTCCTGTTCTTTCTTTCTTTTGCCAAAATGCCTTGGATGTTAGGAGGAATAATTGTGAGGAATTCACATCCACTAAATCTGAAACATCACATGCATGTCATTTGTTACAGATTATCCCCTTAATGTGAAAGCGGTCACATGATCCACTGGTTTACTCAAGATCTGTTAGAGAGCTAATTACTAGTTAGAATTGATTACTTTTGGATTACCTTGTCATCTGAAATCTGTGAAATATTTAGGAACTGTGAATTATGTGGTGAGCATAGAGTTTGGATGTTTTGAAGCACATTTGTGCATTATTTGATGATAACCATAAAAAAAACTGACTAAGGTAAACTGATTTTTTTATAGAACACAATGAATGCATAACACATCTTGACTATGTACAAGACATCCAACTAGTGTTTTTCGGCAGAGGGATATACAGCAGGACCACCAGAGCACCTCATCGAAGTATATATTCTGCAAACAGCAGTTGGTTTCAGTTGAACCGTCTGTTGCTAGTAGCAACCACTCCAGCCACAGGTCCATACCACTTTAACTGACATTGTTACATCCACCATTTTGTTAGATTTGTGTCCAAGCAAATACTGACAAGCATCTTTTATCTTCTCCCTAAATACCCTTGTTGGAACATTATCTGTAGGTACTCTTTTCATTACAGCTGTTTTGTAGTTATTGATTTGCTAATCTATTTTTTCTGCAATCAGTTTACTGCTTACCTAGCTAGCCATTATAGTAGCTAGCTGATGGGCACACTGTTACACTATTACGCTTTTTATTTTTACAAGATTAACTATTTTTAGGAAACTTCCTATGGGGACTTATGTTGATCTTTATTGATAATACTTTGTTTCTTCCTGGCATGGAGGACAATGCATCTCATTTGACAGCCTATACTTTTTTTTTTTTTTACTGCTCATTTGTTACTGTACTAAATCAAACACCCTTGGGTCTAACTCTTTTTTCAACCTAACCTAAAAGCCTCAGACCGCTTCAACCAGAAATGGGGGGCTGCATCCGACAATTTAAAATTTTTCAACAATCCAACGCAGTCTTCACACAGAGACTGGCCAAGTAGGCTCTCTTCTTTTAATAATGCTAGCAAACGTTGTTTTTCATGAAATTATTTTATTTGTTCAGGTCACAGTGGCCTTTAGTTAGCAATATTTTTTGGGGTGTATACTAACAATTTTTTGTTTGAACTTTGAAAAATATACTAAGTTGTGTAGGCTAATCCAAAAGTGTAACATACTCTATTATGTGAACTAGCAGAATCATAACCACTCAACTGAATTTGATTGAAAGCTGATGTATTCAGAGAGTTGCATCAATGTGTCTGAATACATGTGTAAATCAAGTAAAACTTTTCATCTCAAGGTATTATGTGTGCATTCAAAAAATTGTAAAATGGCAGTGGTCTGAATAGTTTCCAAAGCCATTGTACCTTCTCAGCCTTGTTGAATACTGAAAAAAAGGCTCATTTCCACAGTAACTGGACCCCCTTTGTTCACATCCCATAATTACTGGTGCCTGCAAAGGGCTGCGATTCAAGCCAGGAACAGGGAAATGTACTGCGACCCACTGACCGCTTGTACACCTAATCAGCCACCCCTATTCCTATTAGAGGTTTAACAGGGGCCTGAGGCACAGCCCACAATTACACCTACTCCACCACAAGAAACACACACACACACACACACACACACACACACACACACACACACACAGCAAAACACATGTCCACTCTCACACACGGACATAAAGTTAAACACAAATGCCACACTCCCCCACACACAGTACGGTCCATGCATGGCAGCATGGCAATTATCTGCAGTGGACTTTGTATTAAAAGGGGAAAATGGGCCAGTGTTCAGCTGAGGAGTATTTCCATAGCTGAGGGAGAGAGAGGCAGAAGGAGAAAGTAAGACTCGACTTTTAAAAAGTGACTAAAGAGAAACCAGAAACTTTGAGCGGTGCAAGTTAAAGCTTCGGTTACAGTCTGCCACAGTGCAGCCAAAGCAAACCTGCACTTTGCAGATTAACCACACTCTCAAAATCACTGGGCTCCTCTCTCCACTCTCCGACAAGCTTTTAGGGTTTGCAGCACCCAGTGGGGCAGGTTACGACGCAGTACTGGAGTGAGTGGAACTGGTGCACCTGAAATCTTGTGTTGGAGTTTTGAGGTTTGCCAGCCAACCTTTGACCACAGTCACTGACAATAGTGTGTATGGCAAGACGAAGACTTACTTGGAGTGCAGGGAAGAGGTTAGTATAGGGATGTGTATGAGAACAGGTACACTAGGCGAGTTTTGCAGTACGAAAAAACTGTGAGCACACACAAGTAGAAATGTCTTGTTTCTCCTTGAATGTACTGATTTTGTAATCGAATTAGTGCATTTTCACTGCTATGGGAAGCCGACATGTTGCTTCCAATGATCATTAAAAAGGTTTACTTACTTTACTGATGGTGATAAAACTATTCAGCATGATCTGTGAAATGTAATGTCATGACATGTCTTCTAATATGAAAATGAAAAAACCTCCTGCTTACAGATCTTTAATGTATTAAAAAGGTGTATTTAAAATGCTACAGCATAATGAAACCAATATGAGATTTTAGAGAAATTTAACAGTTTGGAAAAGTTGTATTTCCAGACACTGCCATTTTATGGAATGAACAAAAAACATTTACTATATATATATATATATATACACACACATATACATACATACATACACACACACACACACACACACACATATATATAAATAATTAAAATTATAGGCAATTAGCAAGACACCCGCAATAAAGGAGTGGTTCTGCAGGTGGTGACCACAGAGCACTTCTCAGTTCCTATGCTTCCTGGCTGATGTTTTGGTCACTTTTGAATGCTGGCGGTGCTTTCACTCTAGTGGTAGCATGAGATGGAGTCTACAGCCCACACAAGTGGCTCAGGTAGTGCAGCTCATCCAGGATGGCACATCAATGGGAGCTGTGGCAAGAAGGTTTGCTGTGTCTGTCAGCGTAGTGTCCAGACGTGGAGGAGGCCGTAGGAGGGCAACAACCCAGCAGCAGGACGCTATCTCCGCCTTTGTGCAAGGAGGAGCAGGAGGAGCACTGCCAGAGCCCTGCAAAATGACCTCCAGCAGGCCACAAATGTGCATGTGTCTGCTCAAACAGTCAGAAACAGACTCCATGAGGGTGGTATGAGGGACTGACGTCCACAGGTGGGGGTTGTGCTTACAGCCCAACACCGTGCAGGACGTTTGGCATTTGCCAGAGAACACCAAGATTGGCAAATTCGCCACTGGTGCCCTGTGCTCTTCACAGATGAAAGCAGGTTCACACTGAGCACATGTGACAGACGTCTGGAGACACCGTGGAAAATGTTCTGCTGGCTGCAACATCCTCCAGCATGACCGGTTTGGCGGTGGGTCAGTAATGGTGTGGGGTGGCATTTCTTTGGGGGGCCGCACAGACCTCTATGTACTCGCCAGAGGTAGCCTGACTGCCATTAGGTACCGAGATGAGATCCTCAGACCCCTTGTGAGACCATATGCTGGTGCGGTTGGCCCTGGGTTCCTCCTAATGCAACACAATACTAGACCTCATGTGGCTGGAGTGTGTCAGCAGTTCCTGCAAGAGGAAGACATTGATGCTATGGACTGGCCCGCCCGTTCCCCAGACCTGAATCCAATTGAGCACATCTGGGACATCATGTCTCGCTCCATCCACCAACGCCACGTTGCACCACAGACTGTCCAGGAGTTGGCGGATGCTTTAGTCCAGGTCTGGGAGGAGATCCCTCAGGAGACCATCCGCCACCTCATCAGGAGCATGCCCAGGCGTTGTAGGGAGGTCATACAGGCGCGTGGAGGCCACACACACTACTGAGCCTCATTTTGACTTGTTTTGAGGACATTACATCAAAGGATTGGCCTGTAGTGTGGTTTTCTACTTCCACAGACCTCCATGGGTTGATAAATTTGATTTCCATTGATAATTTTTGTGTGATTTTGTTTTCAGCACATTCAACTATGTAAAGAAAGTATTTAATGAGATTATTTCATTCATTCAGATCTAGGATGTGGTATTTTAGTGTTCCCTTAATTTTTTTGAGCAGTATTTTTTATATATATTATAAATTATACTGCTCAGTATTAATGAGCTTATGCCTATAACAGATATCCTCAATGCAGGACTAAATGTAGGCCAGTAAACCAATAAAATGGTGAACACAACATGTTGCAACAATCTAAATCAAATGTTTAACATGAATGGAACCATTTTTGGTTGTCCTTTTCCTTCCACTTCTTAAATGTCAGGCTGAATCTAGCTGGACTGTGGATGGCAGTAGTAACTCTCCCTCACACAAATCTTTACTTTACTAAATCATCCTTTTCTGTCATTTAAAACAACTTGAGCCAAAGCACCAGGTACTACCAATCCTTCGTGACAATGTAAATATGGATAAGTGTAGTACTTCTTACAGAAACCTATAACATTTGCAAAGTATCCACTTTTTCACTGGTCTATAAGCCTTAGTCTTAGAAACTTTATCTAACCAGGAAAAGGCCTCATTCATATTGAATTCCTTTTAGACAGTGCCCTGGCCAAGAAAAAGTTTAATTTTACATAATAATGACTTAGTAGGTTAGTAGGCATTGATCTACTAGCTCAGTATTGGGATCCAGCTATATAAAGACTGATCTATTTTCAACTGTTTATTGTGTAAGCACTCTAGGAGGGGAAACTGTCAAACAACCCATTGCTAAGACATCGCACTGAATTCATGTGAATGGTGGACCAGTATGAAAACATTAGAGCCAGCAATTTCAATTCATGATATCCACTTTGAAAGCACATGTCAACAAGTACTGCTTCAATGGTTGCAGCTAAAATGTATGGGCACTTTTTGAGCTGGCAAGTGCAAGGAACGAAAATGAATGTAGTTGGTGCTGTTCTGGGACCAGTGCCTATTAACATACTCTAAATCTATGTAATACATATCCAAAACCAAGGTTATGATTATCATGATAACTGTCTATAGCCTGGAAATAGGGGTTATATGCATACTGTTGGAGGAAAATGCTACATTTCTTTTTAAAAGAAGAAACAGTGATGCTTCGATGGCCAATTTGAGCTGCCTCTGGAATAGGAAATAACTGTAGCCGTATATTTCACACACATGTAGTGACACAGATGAATACACACTGTGCACACAGAACCCCACAGTCACAAGAGAAATGCAAACAAACCTGTCTGTTCTTGCTGGTGGCTGTTTACCAGCCAGGTGTTTAGTGTCATTCTTCCAAGATCCATGATGCAAAATTGCAAACACAAACATATAGGCCTGTGTATAATGCCTGCACACAATCATGTTTGACTTTACGTCGTACAAAACATATTCTGAGCATAGTTTTTCCAAGCTACGATCAAAATGGCACACAGAAGTGGTGACTTTTGCATTTAAAGTTATTTAAAATAAATCTTCCAATTTCTGGCGCTGCTCTGTTTGTTTCCAGAAAAGATGCCATTCTCTCCTTCAATCCTTCTTCTGTCTGACTGCAGCTCTGCACTTGTGAGCAGAGGGAGAGAGAGAGGCAGCGCACAGACGAGTGGAACAACAGACAGAGAACTTCAAAGCCAATGAGACAGCTGCTGTAGAATTTTAATAAACCCCCTTTTTCCTCTGATGGCCAGTGTATGTGTGAATTTAAGTGTGTCTGTTTATTGCTGCTGAATTGAATAGTACACTAGACCACAAAACAGACACCAACCACAAGCAGGCAGGCAGGCGCGTGCACACACACACACACACACACACACACACACACACACACACACACGGGAAGGTAGAAGCCTTTGTTACTCACCTGCTGCACTTCTGTCTCTCCGTTTGATGTCTTCTCGGTGTACACAAACGAGCTGAAAATCCTCTGTAGACAGACAGAGAGAAAAGGAAGTAGAGACAGTGAGGTTAGATTCAGAGGAACGCCGAAGTCCCAGACCCCGAATACTGAAAACCCATCACCTGAGGAAGAATATTGGCAGAGCCTATATAGAGATAAGTTTGGTTTCAGGTGTTGTTGAGCAGAGACCTTTATCATCAACACTCTGGGATTACTTCTTCAAAAACAGTCAAAAGTGTGGATCGGTGAAAAGAGTACAACTGCAAAAGTACTTTCCCTGAGGGGATCTATAAACAATTGCATTATTATCACAAGGTTACCAAATAGTTCAAGCATTCACACCTTTTTATGTTCGATCCCATGATAGCACAGTCCAGTCAAACCAGAACCGTCTTGTGTCTGCATGCCATTCATGTCAATTAAGCTATACTGAAGCTGCCACAGGGGCTTGGTTTTGAACTTTGAGTGCAGGCCAAAATTATTCAAGGGCATCACAAAGTACCAAACGTTGGAAATTTTCAGTCTTGTTTACTTATTCAATGCACAAATTGTTCCTGATAATTATCAGATATATAACATATTTTATTTATCTTGAATTGTATTGCCACCACAACAATTGAATATTGAGAATGATGAATTATCCCCTGTACTGTCCTTTACAAAGCTAAACAAACAAAATTGGAAACCAACACTTTCAACTGTAACGGCAACTAAATCACAATTTATACTTAATTTCTGTCAGGGTTTTGTGACTTGGCAAACACACGAGTTATTTAAGGAGTTATGGTGTCACCCTTTATGTATGCCATTGTTAGCTAATGGTTTTAAATGGTAAATGGACTGTAGTTGTATAGCACCTTTCTAGTCTTCCAACCACTCAAAGCACATATATACACGTGTTACAATCACCCAATCACACACATTCATTCATTTATCACTGCCTTGTTAAACGTGTGTAAATCAAGGACATTTCAGGTTTTAAACTGAGACACAAATGATCCCTGGTAGCAGTGAACAAAGATTCAGTAAATAACATAACTGTTTTGTCAGTGAATTTTGTTGGCTTACAAATAGTTACTTTATTATGATATAGTGATAATAGCCTAAAGTGGAGTCATACAAGATAATCTATATTCAGTGATTTAGATATATCGGTGATCAGGCTCAGTCATCCAGGTCACATAGTATCAGGAAGAGCTGCAGTTAGTGAAAAGCAACTGGACTAGAGGCTGAAGAAAATATTGTGACTTCAGGTAATTATCAACACCCAAACTGAATTCACTGAATAAGACGAAAAAGGCTCCAAGTTACCGTCTTGATTATACATCCAGAGTGAGGCAGACATTAGCATTAGCGGTGATTGATTTACCTGCTCAGAGGCCGTCAGACAGGTGCATCTGGAACCATTTTTATTACTGGTCCAGAGAGCATGATAAACCTGTTTATCTGCCAAAACAACCAACCCATAGACCCAGACTGTATGGTCCTGTTGTTTACATCAGTTTCTAGGTTGGGGAGGAAAATGCGTCACCTGTTTAAATCTGGATAGCAGCCATAACATAAAATGAAGGTTTTGAAGAGCACAAATCACAAGGTGATGCTAAAATTCCCCGTTCACCTTCCAGATTGAAACATTTTAATAGTCCCCGATTTATATTGTTAAGTGAGTAGGAAATGAAGCGGTACATTAAGGAATGGAGAAAATGAGTCCTGGTGTGACCTCAGCCTTAACACATACTAAGAGAGCTCCAGAAAAACATTTTAAGAGCTGCCTGAATGACACACATACACGAAAGCACACACCTTTATTCAGATGGTCTCCTGGGTCCCATCAGCTAAACATTCTCTCTCGTTCTCTTACTTCCTGACACACACATATGCACACACACTTTCCAAACAGAGGCAACAGTACTATGTGGCAGCTACAGAGTAAAACTAATGTTTGTGTTGAGGCAGCAGGTAGGCAGGTGGTTCACTGTAAGCCACCTCACTGCACACAAAGCCTTAAATTACCTGGTTCAAACACTGCAACCATTTCCTGCTGACACATTCCAGAGGACACCAATTACCCAGAATGCTCCACATCCAACTAACATTGGAGCTGATTCACTGCACTGTTATTGCCACGCCATTGCTACACCTTTCAACTCTACAGAACATAAAAAAATAAAGCACAAATCCATTGGTTTCACACAGTTAAAAGGAAAGGTGAGCATTTTATTCAAGATATTGTAGCCTTCTGAACATCAGAATAGCCTGACTTTTACTTGGATGCCTAAAAAATATTTTTTCCCACTGGCTCAAAGAAAAGTTACTTAATGGCAACATACTGAAAAAAGGGCCACAACTACACACTATTTTCATTATCCAATAATGTGCAGATTATTTCTTCCATTAATTGACTAATCCTTTGAAAACTGTGCAAAAATGTACATCATTTCTGTTTTTCATTGTGCCTGACCAACCGCAGAAAACTTATATATACACACAACAGATATTTAGGTTACTGTTATGTAAGACAAACAGAAGCTTCTGACATTTGGGAAGCTGAAACCAGAAAATGTTTTGCCGTTATTGCTTGAAAATGGACTTAAATGATCATCAGAAGTGTTGCACTATTTAAATAGTCGTTGTAGTTCGAAGATACCTTCATAGAACAAAAGGAAACCCAAACACACAGAGATACAAAGTCAGACAAGGACAGATGCAAATAAACAGATGCAGCTATAAACAAAAATCTCCTAACAACCCGTCTCCTGGGCCATAAATAGGCCATTCAGTTGACGCTCTTGTAGATTAAGTATCAAATGTAATTTCTGAAAACTCAATTATTTCTAACGTGGCCAATAAACGCAGGCTGGCATGAACACAAATAGAGTGCTAATTGTCAACTTTTCAGTTCTTAGTTATAATACTGATTGTCTAAATGGAGTCAGCAGTCATTTTTGACATATTCCTTTCATTTTACAGACACATGAGATGAACACAAAAGTGCTACACAAACAGTTTCATTATGTTATTATTACACACACACACACACACACACACACACACACACACACAGCTATGTATTTCACTACTGAGTTATTTACAACGTGCAAAACCAAGCCCAGACAGTCTACTGTTCCACACCCTTCTTAGTGGAAAAAAGGTCCAAGATGTAGAACTGTCAAATAAACATGAACATGCACACACAAACAGAGCTGCTACTACTTAGCAGAAATCATGTGCTTTCACAACACCACACTAACAAAAGGGGGGGGTGGGGGGGTATGCACTGGAATAGAGAAATGCGTCGTTTCCATTAAGCCAGCAATTCTGAAAAATTGGGACCAAATCCTGAAAAGAGAGAAAACTCCAGTTGTTGATTAGCCACAGGTTAGCTGTCTTTCCCCCAGTGCCTCAAGTGTTTGTTGTTAGAGCTGCTTTGCGGTTTTCACAGCTATGTAGCAGCCAGGGAGGAATGCTTGGCTCTGAAACCTTAGAGGCCTGAGGCTGCCTAGGCCACCGTGGGCTTGTGGCCTCCCCTGACCCATAATCAAACACTAAAATATACACAGACACATACACACCAGCAATGAGGCACACATAGGCAACTACACAGCATCAGCGGTGCACTCAAGACATCCCTATAGATGTTACTAGGCTGGACAGTACAGAAAACATAAATATGAGAGATACCAGAAGATGAGAAAAATCAACACTTAAATTATCCCAGCTCACTGATGGGAAGTCAAATGGGAATTTATATGAAGGAATTAAGAGAGAATACCCTTCTGGTAGAAATCTGACTTTAACTAGAAATGTAGAAAAGTATCATAAAAATGGGGTGGCGATGGAGCAGTGGATAACACGAACACAAAAGCCACAAAACAAATTCAAATTTGTTTTGTGTTGTGGCTTTTTGTATTTGTGTTGTGGCGTTTGTATTTGTGTTGTGGCTTTTGTAATCGTGTTGTGGCTTTTGTGTTCATGTTGTGGCGTTTGTATTCGTGTTGTGGGATTTGTCTTCGTGTTGTGGCTTTTGTAATCGTGTTGTGGCTTTTGTATTCGTGTTGTGGGATTTGTCTTCGTGTTGTGGCTTTTGTATTAGGCCTGAAACCTACGGGCCACCGTACATACAGTAGTGATCCATTTGGATGTCTAATGAACTTAAGTTCCAAACAAGTCAGAATAGCCAGAATATCAGGTGTTCCTCTGCCACTACATACACACACATATACATTACACCCACACATGCGCACTGACGCCCCCTTCCTTAAGAGTTAGGGTTACAATTTTGGATTTATTTACGCACTTTAAAAACATTTATTAAAAGCTTCTTTCTTTTCACATATTTACTTACAGCATTATATGCTGAAGTGTATATAACATAATAGGCAGCTTATTAACTTAATGGGAGAAAAATGGTAGTTCTATTTAAAATCAGACGTTGAGCAACCCCATATTGCCAAAATGGCACGATCCTTGTTTCATAAGGCCATTGTGAAGCTTCGACTGTGATACTGACAGTCGAATCAGGCTCCGTCCATCGAAGCAGCGAATCTTCGACTATTTGGGGTCAGCCCTAATACACACAATGCGTTTTGGTGAGTAACACCGAAAGTAAACTTTTGTTTGTTACAAGAAAACTCTACAGAGACATTAACAGACCATGAATCCAAATAGGCAGCTTTCTCAACACTAAGCTCACAAGAAATGCATTCAAACTCCTGTTCATTGATCACAGACCAACAGCCTCCCTTTCATTAGGCCATTTTTAAATCCATCTACCTTGGGGTTTATCCTGACCACAGTCGAATGGTTCACATGAATGACTAAGCCTTATTGAAAGCTCAGACTGCAGGTTACAGAGATAAATACCATAAGCTGTGTTGTTTCAAACACTGTAGTGTATTATAATGATAGAGAGTTGTTAGTTCTAACAGTGGAATTCTGTTAAACATATGTACCTGACTTCTCATTTAAACTCTCCCCCAGATCAGTCTAGATTTATTACTTAACCTGCTCTCAATCATAGGAAAAGA